GTTTTTTATTTTTCAATGACAGATTTTTGCAAAATCATGTTAAGTTTAAATTAAGCCATTCCTCTTGGATTCTTTTTTTGTTACTGTGACTTTGCATTCCAAGATGTGGTTGTTCATTTTAGGCTTTAGGTCACTTAAGAATGAAAATTGTCTGCCTTCTAGATAATCATATTTTGGATGTTTCTTTGCTCTCTTTTGCTTAGACAGCTTTAGAACTCCTCACGTGACAACAGTGTTTGAAATTGTGTTGTTAGAAGTTATTTATGCACATAGCATGCTAAATATATATTGTAGCCAGTATAGTTTGCTGTCTGCTTTTTCTAAGCTAGCTGCACTTTCCAGTTATTTGAAATTGCCACCTTGGCTTAATTCTCACTTTGAACAACTGTTGCTTGATTTGCAGGTATTCCCCAGAGCAGCTGGCAGGACAGAGAATCAGTGTGTTCTCATATGGCTCTGGTTTTGCTGCTACGCTGTATTCCATCAGAGTTACGCAGGATGCCACTCCTGGTGAGTGAAAGGAAGAGACGTTAATTGAGTGCACAGCTCACCTCGTAATGGTTTGTTATCCTACCCACCAGCAGAAGTAAACCAGAGTAGTGTCTAATGACAATAATGTTGAACTGAGGATGGTCTAGCTCCGGGGAATCTATAAGTGTCTCCTTGAGCAAATAAATAACATTCAAACTGTTAATATTTTGCTTGATTGGCAATATTTTTAAATGACTACAAGTTTAGCTTCTGCAATGCAAAATGTTTTGAATGGGCTTGAAATGCCAACATGCTAGTGTGCAGTTCTCAGCACTGACGCTACCTTACATGGTGGTTTTATATTGTAGGTTCTGCACTGGACAAAATAACTGCCAGCCTTTCTGATCTCAAAACAAGACTTGACTCAAGAAAATGCATTGCACCTGATGTCTTTGCTGAAAACATGAAGATCAGGCAGGAAACGCATCACTTGGGTAAGAACTTCATAAATATAAATCATGCCTAGTCTGACAGCAAAACACTTGTCACATAATTCACATTACTTTAAATTATCAGGATGTAGAATGATGGAAATGTCCAACCCTTTCTGCTTCTGAGTAGCTCATGTTTATTGGCTCAGTGTGGCTGAAATGAAATGCAAACTTCGTTTTTCTGTCTTACTACACCCAGACTGCAAAGGCCTGTGTGTTGTAACACTCTCACCAGGAGCTGACTAACAATGTGTTACTGTCTCTTTTCCAGCTAACTATATTCCACAGTGTTCAGTAGAAGATCTCTTCGAGGGAACATGGTACCTCGTGCGCGTGGATGAAAAACACAGGAGAACTTACGCACGGCGCCCACTCATGGGTGATGGACCTCTGGAGGCAGGAGTTGAAGTTGTCCACCCAGGCGTTGTTCATGAGGTGAACACTCAGCACTCTTTTAAAGTTTGATACAAATGGTGGAACAGTTTGTGTCTGTCTTAGCATGCACATGTACATTGCTAATGCGCATGTAAGAGGAAGTGGTTTAACAAGTTATGTTAAATACTTTGTTAACATATGTAACATACAAGCCAGAAGTAAAAAAGTGAACATGGGATTCTTAAAGTACATTTTATTATAACAAGAATGAATTAAGAACAAGAACTGGCTCTTTTCACGTAATCAGTTTGCATGAAGCATGACCGATTTGACTGAAGACCAAACCGTCCAGTGTAGCATGAATGTTGTTTGAGAGTTGGACTAGCCATGAAGTATGAATGTCTGTGGACTAGAAAACTGTATTTAATGGTTTTTTTCCCTTCTTCTTAGCACATCCCAAGCCCTGCTAAGAAAGTGCCAAGAATCCCTGCAACAACAGAATCTGAAGGCGTTACTGTTGCCATTTCCAATGGGGAGCATTAAGATACCTCTGTGAGGTGGGGAATGAAACAAGGTGTGAGGGTAGGGTGAGAGAGAAAGGATTGCAGTAGTGCTGAAGTTTCATTGGGGCATGGAAAAACTGTTTAAGCTCCTTGAAAAGATTTGTCATAGTATCTGATATTTATAGTATTTTCAGAACACTATAATCATGAAAATACTGGAAATGGAGAAACTTGCCTGGGGATATGTGTATACCTTAACACGTCTGAATTTTTTTAATTGCTGTGTAGTAACTATAGTCTATTACAAGGTCTTTGTACATAGGGAAAAAAATCTTCTGCTTGCTCTTTCTGTGTAAAATTACTTGAAACCTACACTGTTAACTACTACTTGTATTCAAGTGTGTGGCAAAATACTCCAAGCTTTTAAATGTTAGGGTTCTCAGTGCCTTGACAGTAAGCAGTCAGTCTTCTGAATACTGCACTTCTTCTCTTTATCACCTTTCCTTTCTTCTCCCAGTCTGCCTCCCATCACCCCATTGCTTTGGGAAGCGTATAGAGCCAAGTAACACTCATTGCAGGAATAGAATCTCTCTCCCCTGTCAAAATGACGGGATCAAGAACAGCTAGGCTCACAGAGGGTTTTCTCCTAAGAAATTCTGTGACCCACTGTGTTAGTTACTATGTACTTCCTCCTAACACCCACATTGTCATATACCTGTATTATAAATCACAGCAGGTATGGGAGAAAAGAGGAAAAAGAAAGGAGGTAGTTGTTGGTTGGTTGGTTTTTTTTTCTTCTAAAGACAAAAAAGGTGTGTTTCTTGGCTTCATTGATTTGGCACATTTCAGGTTTGTTTAGTAGAAGTATTTAAGGCAGCAGAATTTTAAAATAAAACTTCTAGATACTATGGAGCTGTTTAAATTGGCAACCAAAGGATGGGACGAAGATCACTTTGGAGCTGTGGCCTCCTGCTGTTCTTTATATATTACATTTATAAAAACCTATTTCTAACTTTGAATTTGGCTTTGTACTTCGAAGGTCCTTCTCACTCTTGGTAATATTGTAGGAGTGGGGGTCTCTTACTACTTTTGTGGTGGGGGTTTTTTTGTTTGGTTATTTTTGTTTGGGTGTTTTGGTTTTTTTCCCAACATGCAAGCTAAAAGCTGTCCATTTTGCAAGTGGTAGATATACAATGCTAATGGGGAGTCTTCTGGTAGATTTTTTTAAAGCCCAGATTGGAAATGAACTACGACATGAGCCTTGTAAGCTTGTAATATATATTTAAATTGAGCTAATGTACAGAATGAAGTTTTGTTGAGTTTATTTCTTTGCTAATTCTACAAAGCTACATTATCTGATATAAAGCAGCAAAAATGATTTGTCTGTTAAATTACATATTTTTGTGTGTAATGAAGTGTTTGTATTATCTGTCACTCACTAGGATTTGATAACTTGCTGTATTTGTACAGTCAAGCCTTGGTAAAATAGTTGTTTATTATAAATTGATGAATACTGATCTGTTTGTTGATGATGCATGAAGATAGTGTTTGCAAGTATTTTGGTTTAGGTTGCCCTGGTGAAATTTATCCTGGCACCAGAAAAACAAATTGCCATGGATCAAAGTCCATTGCTGGCAGTGGACAAGCTAAGAAGTGAGCTACTGGCACAGAATTAACCACAGGGACCTCACGGTTGTGAGACTGACCCTTTACTAAAATAAAGTTTGAGATATTTGAAACCTGCTGGAGTAGTGCTGACTTGTTGGGTTTTCAGGATGCTTTTTTTTTTCTTTAACAGGAAAAAAAGAGGAAGCTGGCCCTGTGAAAACACAAAGTTGTGAGTTCACAAGCTATGTGGACCTTCAGGGTCTTTTTTTCTTAAGTCATTCAATTACAAAAGTAGAAAGAAGGGTTGCTTAGGCTGGTGCAAAACCATTATGTCACAGCTGTGTTCCAAGATAAATGCTTTCATATGAAAAATGTTTATAGTGGATGAACTAACTCCCAGCCACCTTCTTTTAAAGTGAACTGATCATCTCATCAGTCCCCATAATAGATAAGGCATCCCTGCCCTTGAATTTGAAAGCACCAGCTGTACCTCTCTAAACCTTATACTTGCCTTAACTTAAAACATGTAGGCTCTACCTCTTAGCTTAGGCATGTCAGCTGTGCCTGTTCAGAGAAGGATAGCTACTGCACTTCACCACTTGTATTTGAGCTGATTGGAATTGTCAGACTGTCCAACTTTTAACTTTCAGTGGTCAAGAGTATCAAAATCAGCTTTGTGCCAGCCTTTATTGCCAAAGTAGTATGGTAGGAGTTGGCACAAGCCTATGATGCTCAGTACATAAGTGGATTTTGTTACTGGTTGCATTTAGCTTATGCCTAGTGCTTATGCAAGAATGTTTTGGAGTATGCCAAAATCTCTTTAATTGGGGTGCAACTGGCATCCAAGCAGTTCTACCTGTCAGAATGATATAAGTAACAGAAGGTGTCAGTCAGTCAGTAGATGGTAGCCCAACCTGCTCTGCACTAGGAATTGCAACCACATGTGCAGGGTTAAAGCAGCATATCCTAAATTGCTGTTCTGAATTCTGACAAACCAGGATCAGTAGTCAACAACAGCACTGCTGTTTCTTAAATGAATTTTAAACCACCCACCCCCCTGCTAATACACATTTTATCTTCTTTAATTTGCTGAAGTTTTAGAGAAGAATTTGCAGTTTTTTAGATTATGGTCTGCTTTCTGCTTAAATTTCTGCTTAAATTCTGCTTAAAACAGTCCTGGTTTGCAGTGGTAACATGTCAAGCTGAGGCACAACTTTTCAAGAAGTTAGCTTTTGTATGTGTGTACTGAGAATCTCCCCAGTGTGTTCCATGCAGTATTACTCAAGCTTTACTAAAGGTCACCTCCACTAATGACCCCTTATATGCTTCATGTACTGGAGTTCTTGCACTGGCTATACTGTGTCTCTGGAGCAAGGGACAAACAAGTGCATGAGAGCTCTGTATTTGAGTGCTTCAGTGTGACTTAAAAAACGCAGAGGAGATGAGGCATTTTTGGTTTATTCAAAAATTACAAAAAAATGTAACAAGAGAACTTGTGAAAAGTTAATAAAACCCTTGTTAAATGTGCTGAGTACAAAGCCTGCAGTGCAATTTATAAAATAGAACACAGCTTGGATGCATGCTTCACCCCACTGTGAGCACTGATTCCTCTCCTCAAGTCTTGTTCTTTGGAGTCTGGATGGGAAATGATGGGAACACACTCAAGTGCCCTTTTCTTCTGTACTTTGTGCAAAACAATCCTGTAGACTCCTGTTATTGAGCTGCGCGCATCTCTTCCCCGGTTATTTTGAATGTGGTGGTCTGTGATTCCCAGATCTTCTAGAATATTTTTCACTTCAATTTCTTCCTCTTTGAGTGTGCTAATGTCTGATAAGTACTTTGGATCCAGTTTAAATGGCTGTAAAGGTTTGGGGTACTGTATTCCTTGCATCCATTCACTGTTCATAATAAGTTTGACAGAGTATCGTTCGGTTGGTACTGGCTGAAGAACTCCTTTTATCAGTTTCTGGCAAGTTTCTGAGAGGCAGGGAGGCAAACTGTATGTCCCTTCAAGAATGCACTTTTTCAGTTTGGCCACTGTGTCTGCCCGAAATGGCATGATCCCCGTTGTCATGAAGTATAACAGAATGCCCAGAGCCCATATATCTACGTAAATGCCAACATAGTTTTCATCTCGGAAGAGTTCAGGGGCAGCATAAGGAGGAGAGCCACAGAAAGTATTTAAAGTTTCATCTCTTTTACTTATTGTGCTGAATCCAAAGTCTCCCACCTTAACACAAGTGTTACTGGTGTAGAAGACATTTTCTGCTTTCAAGTCCCGGTGAATTATATTATTCTCATGCTGTAGAACAAGAGGAAAATTTGGTATTATCTTGATCACAGGAAAGTTCTTAAGTGACCAGCTGTTACCATTTAATTATCTTACAGAAGAAAGGGAGTTGTCTTGGACAAAGTCAGAAATAAGCATTACAATGAAATTGAAAAGTATTTAAACAAAGTTAACTTAATTCTCTGCTGATACAAAAATAGGTGGAGAAGATGTGAAGAACAATGCTGGTTTTTTTTTAAGATAGCAATCTCAACTTGTTAACTAGTACCAACTGTTTTCATGAAGTGGATTTATGATGGCATCATGGCTAATCCTGCAAGACTAGATACCTTCATTTGAAAAATCTGTTTTTTTCAGAGTTCAGAACACTTGCTTTTGCAATTAACTATGTTTCTGTAATGATGTAAGTAAAAAAATATTTTTAACTAATTACATTTTTTAATATATTGTAAGCTTGTGGAGTTATGATGTGAAAACATTTAGTTCACCAAATGAACATAATCACAGGTAAAGTAAGAAAGTTTCTACAATTCTGTTGGGTGATCTCATGCCCTTTGAGGAACTGGTGGTGGCAGGAGAAAAGGCACAGACTTGTGCCTTGTAGTATTTCATGTTGTTGCCAGACACCAGGTTTGGTAGTGTCCTCTAGTTTTAGAAATCTAAAATAAACACGTATGCTGTAACTTGTACTTTTTTTCCCTTGAAATGGCAGTAGTACCCAAGGAGGCAAACTCAGTTTGCTCTGCTTAGTGTTGATGTACCTGTCTGTATTAGGTCAGGGTTTAGCTTAATTTTTAAAATAACAAGGAGGAATGGATGAGTTTGAGCACTTGCTACTCTGCCCTTTGAAGTAACAAGGTGTATGTGTATCCGGAGGCAGTAAGGAAACCCTTCGGCATCCTAAGATTTTTAAACTCATCAATAACAGAGAGAGATCTTCTTGCATGGACTGGCAGGGGTGAGATGTGATTCAAGTAGCCTGGATTTGATGGCTTAGCAGAAGTAAGATGTTTGGCAGAAGTCTGTGTGAAGAAGTGGGGAGGTTTGCCCAGCTTGGTAGCTGGGTATAATGCTTAGAAATAGATGCAATCTTGAAATGTACAGTAGGTTCCAGTAGCTGCAGAGTACCTGTCCTGTGGAAAAAGTGTTCAAGCTCATCTTCCACTTACAGGACATACGAGAATTTTTTCAAAATATATAAAATAAGCATACTGTTTATATATGCCATGAGCAGTTTGTAATGCAGTTTCTAGATGTCTGACCTGGGAACACTATTGCTTTTGACGTTGCCTGAGGCTATTATGTAGCAGGAGAACATGAGCCACTGGAGGGCACCCTGAGCCAACTTTAACAAATACTGGTTGACTTCTCAAACTTGCAGAACAGTCTCTATGCTGTTTTTTGAAGTAGCTGTAGCTACTTTGCAAGTTTCAGAGGACATGGGACCGAAGTAGTTAATTACATCTTTTCTGCCTTTGTGAGGTGCTTTGGGCTCTACACAAATAGCGTCATCCTAAATTCAGCTGCAATACTGAAGGCTGGGCAAGGGGAAGGCGCTTGCTGGGAGTTAACTTCACAGATTTGCGCCAAAGGGAAGACCACGAGTTAACAGTACTAAGTGCCAGTCTCCCACATTCCTTCATAAGCACGCTGGATGTCTGCAGCACCTAACAAGCTTCTTCTCTGGAACACTTTAATCTAGCAGAAGAATGACCAAGCCTATGTTTTGAAATAGCAGGTGGAGAAAAAAAATGAAGGTCTGTTAGCTGGTGCCTACAGCAGCATAAAGCAGGCAGGGGAATGCTGTGGCTAAAGGGATGGTTCCACCCACCAGGTGTTCCCAGTCCAGTGTTCTCTCAAAAGCTATCGGAGGCAGTAACTCAAGTGGATGTGAAAGCTCTCTCACATACCTTTAAGACAGCTCTAGCTGTTTTGCTTTACAAAAATGGGGGTCTGAAATCTTGGTAACAGTAAACCTACTAGTTGAAAACCAAAATACGGATCCACAGAATCTGCTAAAGTAGTGAGGGGCAACACACTTGTGGAAGAAGAGCAACTTACCATGTGCTTCACAGCAGACACAATCTGGGAGAAGATTATTTTACACTCTGTTTCTAGCAGCTTCCCTTCTGTACTGATTTTAGTGAAGAGCTCCCCACCTCCTGCATACTCCATCACCAGGTGCAGTTTAGAGAGTGTCTCCACCACCTCATAGAGTCTGATGATATTTGGGTGGTGCAGCTTTTCCATGCTCGATATCTCACGAGACAGCAAACGTTGAGTCTTCCGGTCTAGTTTTGTCTTGTCCAAAATCTTGATTGCAACTTTCTCTGAAAAGAAAAATGCTTTTTCATGGTGTTAATGCAGTATGTACAAAAGACAATACTATTTACTTACCATAGAAGTGCAAAATCATCTTTGATCAGGGTAAGCTAAGCTGCAGAGGCCTACTAAACCCCATGATCTCACACACACCTGTGCCCCATTCTGTCTATGGCATCCTACTCACTGCTGAGGTAGCTGAAGGCTGGTAGAGTATTGCAAGGGCTATAAAATCATCTGCTGTCTCTGTGCTCCGTTGCTGTCAGGCTAACACGTGTCTGATGGACACAGTTACAGCATCTGCTTTCAGTGTCTGATGCTGGTAAAGAAAGTCTGTGCTTTCTCTTTTGTTGTTAGCTGGGCCTGGTACTTGCAGACTAATGGAAGTGTAAAATTTAGGTGCTTTGTTTCAGAGCAGACAATCCTGGGGCTAACTTAGGGGCTCTGGTTATAACCCTGCAAGTTTATAATGGAGAGGTGTTTTTTAAGTTGGTGCAACTTACAGAACTCTTCCCTAACTTCTTATCCCACACCCCCACAAATTCTCAGTTACCAAAATCTGTGCTGTAGAAGTATGTCTTTCTCACGGTAGCTGTGCCAGTTTTTCCAACAGGTTCATGCATAAGTAGTTCTTGGTACTGTACAAGAATACAGGAAAAGTACATTTTTATGTCTGTATGCCACAGTGGGCTGTGAATCTACATCACACACGGATTTAGTTCTGCGGAAGGGAAAAAACCAGTGGAGAAAGTTGCAGGGATTCTGTAAGATGGCAAATCTACCTGACTTACAGTGTCCTGGTAATGCAAAACTGCAGTTAAGTTCTACGTGTTTCTGCAGCATATCTACAGTGGGCCACAGAACACCGATAGACATCCGCAGCTGCACCACGTCACCGGGCTAGCTCAGAACAGTATCAATAGGTCAGTCACAACTGCTCTTAGTTTCTGTATTAATTGATAGGTTATGGCTTTTGCCTTCCCTCTACTCAATATAGCTGGTATTTGAAGGATTAGTCTGGTTAAAATAGGTTTACAGTGGCTTTGTATAACATGTCAGGACAGCCAAAATTAAACTGGATCATGGCAATAAAAATAACTACTTATTCCTCGGTAGAAGGGTTTTTTTTTTTCCCAAGAATATCTTAGCCAGACATTCACAGATTTCTTAACAGTTAATCACCTTTATCAAATCTTTTGGGAAAAAAACCCCTCCACCTTGGTTTTCTAGTACATTGGGGTAAATTTTAAAAAGTCAGTATTGTTTACTTGTTGTTTTAAGAGAAGAGTGAGAAGGCCATTAACATCTATACATGTGTTCTGGTATAAAAGCATTCAAAATGTTCTTTCGTACTCACAGTGTTATTTATCTCGGTGCTTCAATGTATCTAAAGGAAGTGTTAAGAACACATAAGCCCTACAGATCAAGAAAACTGTGTTTGGTATTTTTACCTTTCTTAGTAACACACATGCATAAATTCATCCCACTACTGAAGTGCAGCAGATACTCCAGGCAAATGCGACTCCTGTGTTACCCCTCGTTGTGCCTGTTTTCAGACAGTGACTGTGCAGTTGAGTACAGGGCAGTCTTCCCCACGCTGCTTTCTCTGACCTGTTCATGCTTTCTGGTGATCTTGTCAGGAAAGCGGGTACCTACTCCTGCATGGTGCCATGGTGGATCAGAAGGAAATGCTGCTATGGAACGGTAACAGCACACAACACTGATCCTGGCAGAGCTCTGACTGCTGACCCAGGGGTGAGAGACTAAAACCCTTGTCACGTTGGTAACACACCGATCACCCAAATCAAGAGGAAAGAGCATCAGCTCGCAGTATTTGCACAATTAAATGCTGAGATACTTCAGGGATAACAATTCTAACAATTATGTAGATTGCATTGTTACATCTTGATTCATAAAATTTAGGGCCATTTGAGTTAAAAAAAAATCTTCTAGCATAAATTCCTCCCCTTTCTTTTTGCTGTTCTTCCTGGTCAGTTTTCTTGCAAAAAAGGGAAGGGGAAGGGGAA